CAGTCTTCACTTCTATATTATTACAATGTTCTTTGAACTTCCACTTTAAATAATAAAAACACTCAAGAGTGTCATAATTAAAAAAAAAAAAAGGTACATACATGTCAAGTCAAAGGCTCAGTAATATCCCAAACTGTCAAGCAAAATAACTTTATCTCTCGTTAGATCCAAACTGAATCATCTTACAAGCAATGCAGAAAGACAACTGATGGGAGGTGAAGTAGTAAATAATATATATGAGCAATTACGGAGCTTCAAACATCAGAAAGCATAAAATCGAGTAGGAATGGTACATCAGGTTGAAACAATAAATGCCCAACAGGACACCAAACAGGTCCCTCGGCTGCTCGGAGCTCAGTCTCCAGAAGAAACTCCAATTTCTGTCAGTGACACGTGAAACTCAACGTGCCAGAACCCTGCAGGAACAGGCAACCAAGCAGCCAGACAGAGCTCCTGACCCAGCACATCACAGGAGAACAAAAAAGGAAATCAAGGAATTCTCTTTTATTCTGGAAAGATCTTAATTTCGAATGCAGAGATGAGTCTGAGGCCGAGTACAACGTGAGCCTGGTATCTGATGAGAGGCCTTCTGAGTGCTGTCAGAACACATCTGAGCAATGGTGCATCAGGGAAAAGGCTTCTCTGACCCATGCAACAAACTGGCTGAATCCTTGAACATGAGATCTGATCACAGCTGTGGTTTCTGAGCAGAGCTGATGTTGTCTGTGCTGAAGGCAATGCAGGCAAACCTGTTTGGACCCTGGGCCACGAGGGATGGGAGTCTATTCACCCACGATAACCATCACAGCCCAGAGTCCAATTAAAGCAGATGTTTTAAGGAAAACCCTAACTTAATTTAAAAAACAAATTAACAACATGCATACAACCTCCTTGTTAAATCATTCCATTACTTTAACAGCTTTCACTTCCAAGAAGGAAAAAAATGGCAACGAATTGAGAGATATCTGTTGTAACCCAAGGACACAAACTGAGGCAGCCTTCCAGATTAATGAGCCTGGTCCCTTCTTGTTAGAGCCCAGCTCATCACACATGGATCATATCCTTCGGGATCCTTCCCTTTCCTGTTCCTGTCACTGCTCCCAGGCTGCTCCTGAGCATCACTCACTGCACAACCAACAGTCAGCGTTGGGGGTTTTCTTTACATCCACCCCAATACCCAACTCAACCGGCTCCAAACAACAGCAACTCACCCAATAAATTCAGCCACTGTTTATTTGGTCATTTCATAGCAGAAAAAAGGGTTTAAAAACTCTGCTGAAGAATAAAAGCCAAGGCTTTGCTTGCAATTTCAGCTTGTACATTGTACCTAAGAGAAATCACATTGCTGAAAGGGTTTGTGTTTAGGTAGAGTCCCTCAAAAAAAGGCACTGCTGGCAATGTGGACGGTGGGGTGCAAATAAATGCAGTAAAAGGAAAACAAAAGGAAAGACAACAGATGGATTCAGCAGGGAAACTGAGCAGCTGAGCACGCTGGGCCAAGAGAAGGCTCTTTGCTCCTGCAAAGGTTCCAGGAGCCCAAAGGACACAGAGCAGGATGGATTTGATGCTGTGCACAGGGGAGAGCACTGATCGAAAAGCAGGGGGAAGTGAAGCACTGAAACCTGTTTTCTGCATCTGTGGCCCCTCACGTCAATCCATACCTGGCTTAGCACCATTTACTTGTTCCAAAGAACAGATGGGGATGGGAAAGGGAGAAGGAATGTGGTATTAGGCAGGCTGAAGAACCAGAAAGTGCTCTCAGTTTATGGGAAAATGGATATTTTGGGTTTAAATTTAACGGAATGAAGCATCTGTGCTGGAAATTATTTGAGTCATTTTTAAGAGAGATCCAGTTTATGGACTTGATCAGAATATGCTTAAGCCAGTACCAAAATACACAGAATCCCAGAATCATTTAGGTTGGAAAAGACCTCCCAGACCATCGAGTCTGTGACCGATCCCCACCTTGTCATCTAGCCCAGACACTGAGTGCCATGTCCAGTCGTTCCTTGGACACCTCCAGGGATGGGGACTCCACCACTTCCCTGGGCAGCCCCTTCCAATGCCTGACCACCCTTTCCATGAAGAAATTCCTCCTAATCTCCAACCTGAACCTCCTCTAGCACAGCTTGAGGCTGTTTCCTCTCGTCCTGTTCCTTATTCCCCGGGAGCAGAGCCCGACCCCCCCCCACCTCCACCTTCCTGTCGGGGAGATGCAGAGAGCCAGAAGGTCCCCCCTGAGCCTCCTTTTCTCCAGGCTGAGCCCCCCCCAGCTCCCTTAGCCACTCCTGGTGTTCCAGACCGTTCCCCAGCTCTATTCCCTTCCAGCCCCTCAATGCCTCTCCTGCTGTGAGGGGCCAGAACCAGACACAGCACTCGCGGTGCCTCAGCAGCGCCCAGCACAGAGGGACAATCCCTGCCCTGATCCTGCTGCCCACACTGGTTTTGATACAGAAGACAAGAGGGGAGAGGCTGCAGAGCCGGGGCCAAGCACTTTCAGGAACCTGCAGGGTGATTCAAAACAGGAAGTGTGAGATGAAGACAAGCCCAGCCGTGGGTCTGAGAGTGAACTCCTGCCTGGGATAGGAAGTGCACCAGAAGGGCTCCGGTAAGATCAGCTCATGTAAAAGAAACCTCTCCACATTCTGCCACAGAAACAAAGAGAGTATTGAGGAAGTCCCAGGGGAAGCACTAATTAATGCAGGTGTCAGGCACACCCGACCTGGTGCAGCCCTCAGGGCTCCTGACACAGCCGACGTGCAGCCCCCCAGCACCCCCCGACAAACCCCTCTGCTTTAGGGAAAGGAAGAGTTTCATTTATTTTATTTAAGAAAGGATTAAATTAAGGTTTCTTTACATCTATGGATCAGACAGCAGATTTGTAGTAAATAAATAAATACCAGACAATGCTGTAATGTCACGACATGACACAGTAAAGGGACGGGTTACAGGATTATCCCAACAGTGATTCTGATACCCTGACCAGCTTAAGGAAGACAAACAGTCCCAGAGCTTTATCTGAGTCAAAACACCCTGATGTTTAAAAGCATAGATAGGCTCCCTTGAGTGATAGGGACAAGTGCCTGCGTGAGAGATGTCAGATCTATTTACTGCAAAAACAGAATTCTGTGAAGATACAAGTAGAGTCACAGAATCCCAGACTAGCTGGGGCTGGAAGGGACCTGAAAGCTCATCTAGTCCCACCCCCTGCCATGGGCAGGGACACCTTCCACTATCCCTGGTTGCTCCAGGCCTCGTCCAACCTGGCCTTGGACACTTCCAGGGATGGGGCAGCCACAGCTTCTCTGGGCAACCTGTGCCACGGCCTCACCCCTCTCACAAGGGAGAATTTCTTCTGTAAGAAGACTGGGATTTTTACTATTCTATATTTTTTAACATAAGTCACATTTAATATAACTTGTTCTTCCCTCTCTCACATCTTTTCTTCTGGCCGTTCAAACGTTATCTACATTACAGTGTTTTAATTTCAGTACATACATAATTAATTAATTATATTGGAAGAACCAGCACAGAACACAAACAGCAAAAACTACAGAGAAGGAAAGACAACCTGATAAAAAAAAATAAATTAACCAGGACAGTTTTAGATGTAAGAGCAGCAGAACTACAGATGGTCAGGAGATGGAACTGCCTTTCTAAAGACAAGATCTGTCTCCATAAGCTCCAAACCAATCTGCAGTGAGAGACGTGTCAACACACAGCAGACGCTGCTCTGAGCTTGTCCGACCCGCGTCTGTCAGAGCCCTCAGCACCACTTTCCTTGGCAGTCTGGGACACCAACACCCAGCCCCGGCAGTGGGACAAGGCTCAGCTTAACCCCCCTGACCCTGGAACACGGGAATGGCCCCAAACCCTGCCCGGTTCCCACCTCCCCAACTCCCCGGGACAGCCCCGTCCCTCCCAGTGACACACTCCCAACCTGTCAGCCGTGTCTGGGAGGGGCACTTCTGTCAGCCCTCATCCCTGCCGAGCCGGGGAGCCCCAAATCTCCCCCTGCCCAGCCGGATACCCACAGGACGTTCCCGGGGCTCTACCCCCTCAGCCCCCCGGGCGCTCCAACACGGAATTTATCCCACCCCTGGAGTGCCCAGGGCCAGGCAGGACGGGGCTGGGAACGACCTGCTCCGAGGAAAGTGTCCCAGCCCGTGGCAGGGAGCGGGACGGAATTAGCTCGGAGGTCCCTTCCCACCCATCCCATCGCGGCCCCTCACGGGGGCGGTGACACCCCCGGCGCACGGAGGGGCGGTGCCGCCGGGCTCGGCGCGGTGCTCACCCTGCGCGCTGCAGTCGGCGCACACCTCGCTGCTCCTCAGGCGCTTCGCCATCGCGGCCCCGCCGGGAGCGGGAGCGGGGCCGGTAACGGGCCCCGCCAGCCCCGCGCCGGCACCGCGCATGCGCACCGCCTCACCCGGCGCCGCGCCGCAGGCGCACGGCGCCCCGCGCCGCCATCTTTACTCCTGGCAGCCCGCACTGTCAGTCCCTGGCAGGGACCTGCCTCAGATCGAGCGCTGTTTCAGCGCGGCAGCGCCGAGCGCTCCCGCCACGTCCTCCCGGCGGGAGGATGGGAGAGACGGCGCTTCGGGAGCCTGGTGGGAGAGGTCGGTCTCCGGCAAGCCCTGCCCTCACCCGCCATGGCGGGCGGGCGAAACCAACGCCGGGGAGAGGCGGGGGGAAGGCACCTAGCGCGGAGCGCCGCGTCCGCCCCAACGCCGCGCTGCCCGTCCACCCCCCCCGCGCGGGGAGCGGTGGGACAGCTGCGGGCGGGACGTTCCATCCACCCGCCCGCGGAGGGGGGGGAGCAGCAGCTTCCGCTTTCTGTGCCTTCGCCGGTAGCGACGGAGTGAGGGGGGGACTGCAGGGACCCCTCCCCCCCGCGCCGGCCGCGCTGTGGTTCGTCCCGGCCTCCCTGGAGGGACGGGGGGGCGGCTGAGGGGGGAGAGCGGGGGGATCCCGGGAGTGAAGGGTGCGGGGCACCGGGGCAGGGGAGAGCCGGGGAGCGGGGGGTGTGAGGGTGCTCAGGGGCAGGAGAGACCTCCCAAGAGTTCGGGCTGGGGCGGTGTCTCCCCAAGGAAGACCCTCAGGCTGCAGGGGGGTGCTCAAGAGCAGGGGACCCCCGAGTTTGTAGGGCAGCGGGGACCCCAGGAGCGGGGGAGACCCTGGGGAGTGGGGGGCTGTGAGGAGGCGCTCAGGGGCAGGAGAGAGGTCTTCAGGAATTCGGGTCCGGGGGTTGCCCAGGATCAGGGGACCCCTAAGTGTGTGGGGATCAGCAGGATCACCAGGAGCAGGGGAGCCTCCCAGGCGTGCCGGGAGTGGGGTCTGGGGGCGTTTCCCAGGAGCAGGGGGTCCCCAGGGGTGGGGGTTTGCATGGGGTGAAGGGTTCACAGGGGCCGGGAGAGAGGAGGAGCTGCAGGGGGTCAGGGCTTGAGTAACTCGGGGTCTCCCGAATCCAGCGAGGGCCCCCGGCTCCCCCTGCCCACGTGTGAGCCGGGATGAGCTCCCCTGGCAGGGCCGACAGCGCCTTCCCCCTGCACGTCCTGGTCTGGAATAACGACTACAGGCGGCTGGAGCAGGAGCTGCAGGACAAGGTAAGGGCGGCCCGGGCACGAGGGGGGGGCCAAGGGGGGGCCGGTGGTCCCAAAGAGCTCCTGCACAGGGCAGGGCTCGGTGCTCCCCACCCACTGCTGTGCCAGGGAGAAGCACCTCGGTGGTGCTGCCGGGTGTGTTGAGGGATCCCTGCATTGCTCTGCCTGTTTATTTGTGGTGTGGAAGCGATGTAAGAAGGCTCAGGAATATACTTGATTGTAGATAGTAAACATTGGCTTTGCATCTGTAAAACTCTGCTTGGAGCGTTCCAGTGCAGCTGCAGAGAAGCTCTTTAGAGGGAATTAGGAGTCTCTGAAGCAGCTCAAGAAGAGCAGCTGTGATGGACATTAGTTTATTTATTAAAATAATAAATGCTGCTTATCCCAATGGGAAGTCAACCTCCAGCAAAGGTGCTGCTGCCAAAGATCAAACCAGCCCCTGGCTTGCTGAGCACCAGCAGTTCTCATAGATTTGTTGCTGTCCAAGACTGGTGGCAGAGTTTTTATACGGCTGGAATGTTTTCAGCATCTCTGGTAAAAAAAAAAAAATGGATCATTGTTCCATGCTGGAGAGTAGAAAACACAAAGCTGTCCCCTCTCTGGGACATAATGACGTAAGGAAATGGCCTGAAAAGCTGCAGTAGAGCTGGAGCAGCAAAAACCCTGCTGTGGGAAAGCTCTGACAGGGACTAGCGTGGGGTGCAGTTAATGAGCAGAGCTTGTTAATTAATTCTACCTGACACCACAAGTACATGAGCCCCAGACCAGCTGTGCCACCTCCTGGCTGTCACCTGCAGCGCTAACGGTCCACCTGAGTTACTAATGCCTGCTTGGAGCATGTTCCTGCCCTGCACTGGGAGGATCTTTGGAATGCAGTCACTTTTTATCTAATCTTATGCCTTAACAAACTCTTTAACCTCACTGGCACGTTGCTCCTGTGTAGTTATTTCTGTTCACCAGCGTTCTCACCTGGGAGGGTTTGCCATTAAACACAGCAGCTCCCACCTGGGGAGTGCTGCTCCTGCCTTCATTCCCTGAGGAAGCCAGCAGCGTGTGGAGATGGAACGTGTCTGTCTCTTACTTCCTTTATCTGCTTTTAAACACCTTTTTTTTAAAGTGTTCCAAAGATGTTTCCTCCCGCTTCCTTGGGATAAACTTCCTGCTGCCGGAGGGGTGTGTGAGGGGATTGGAGCCACTCACCAGCTGCAAACGGGGGTCGGGCCTGTGGGGACCAGGAACAGCAGCAAAGACAGTGGGGGGGCATCCTTAGAGCCCTTTCCCTGTTGATGCTGCAGGTGTTGGAGCTGTAAGAGGTGGGAAAACAAATTAATTAATGTTCCACCACAGAAGTGAAGAGAAGATGCTTTAAACTGAAGCTTTCCCCACTCTGTGTGTGATATTCTGACTTACTGCTGTCAGATAACCCTGTTAACGTGCATAATAACCTTCTTTTCTCATTCTGCTATTGACTTTCCCCTTTTCCTTTAGTTATAGATGCTCTTCTGTTTCAAATCTCTAAGCTAATAGTGAAAAATATGTAAGGTATGAGTATGTTGTGCTTGCATGTTTTGGATGTTTGTGCCTATGTAGTTAATTTTTTGTTCTAGTGACTTGTAGAGAATGCCCTCACTCCTCATTGTGCTGTGTGTGCTTTGTGAAACACCATCTGCTTCTGTCCTCTCCTAGAGTGCTGTCCAAAATCCGTGTTGTATGCCCTGTTGCTTTTTTTCTCTCCCTTTCCCCCCATTTTGTTGTACAGTTTAAGCCCTCTGTGGGGTCTCAGGCTGTTGGCTGTCTGTGGGGTGATGGACACGGACTAGAACTCCCATCTCCTCCTGAAAACAACCCTTCTGGAGGGAGACGGGGGGAAATAATGACAGAAAAAGAAATGAGAAGCATCGACGAGAACTCACATCCCACAGTGATGTTTTTGTGCCTTTTATAGGCCCCACTTCTCGTCTTATTTCTGTGGGGAAGCGAGATGGCCCTGCAGAAGGGCAGTGCAGGAGTGTTTGGGAATGGGCGGGTGGGAATGCCAGGGAATATTGACTCCTGGATTAGCACTGTGTTTGTGTAAGCCCTGATGAGCTGCATTATTCCTCTCTGGGACACCCAACAGGATGTTGACCAGCGGGATCCGCGGGGCCGGACCTTGTTGCACTTGGCTGTTTCCCTGGGTTACATAGAGTCTGCCCGAGTCCTCCTGCAGCACAAGGCAGATGTGACCAAGGAGAATGCACAGGGATGGACAGGTGAGGCCAGCCTGGGCAGCAGGAGCCCGGGGTGATACTTCTCAGCAGCACGTGCTGTATTTTTTGCTGTTACGTGGATCTTGGTCAGAAAGTGAAGTGAAACGAGGCAGTGTCTGTGTTTCTTTCAGTTTTGCATGAGGCTGTCAGCACAGGGGATCCAGAGATGGTCCAGATGATCCTGCAGCATCGAGACTACCAGCAGGCCTTCATGACCCTTGGAGGAGTTCCTGAGTTACTCCAGAAAATTAATGAGGCAATTATTTCATGTAAACCTCTCACTCCAGACTGAATTCACTGCTATTCTCGTTCAAGTAGTTCAGTGAACTCCAGTCAGCTGGGTAACTGTGTTTTGTTCCAACCTGTGTATTCCATAGTGCTGAGGGAGATGGAGGCTTTTCCCTGACTTTACTTTGAAATCCTTAGTTATGAGGATTAAGGATTGCAACGTTGGAGGCTGAATCTGGAAGGTGTTGCTGCCTTTCTAGTATAATAAGGAAGAACAGCCCCCCAGAAAGCAGCAGGGGCAGCCAGTGGCTTTTGTGTTTGCCAGTTTCAATTTCAGTTTTAGCAGTTCTCTAGTTCTGCTCTTTTTTTGTTTTCCTTTATCTAAAATGCTCATGAGAAACACTGCACTGAATGTCAAACTATTTCATGAAGTATTCATCAAGTGTTTTCCTTCTCCAGACTCCTGACTTTTATGTGGAAATGAAATGGGAGTTCACTAGCTGGGGTAAGAATAATCCTGCTCCTCATTACCTCTTACAAGCTGCAGAAATGAGCTACAAATGTCCCACGAAATACACAGGGAAATATCTGCTCCTCAGAATCCTCTTTTCCCTCTAAAAATAACCTCTTGTGTTTTTGTTGCACAATTATTCTTTGTTTCCTGTTTATTGGGTTGGTTGTTTTTTAGTTGAGAGTTTAGCTGTTGCAGTTGCTCAAGACTTTCCTTGGGGTTTGTTTACCTGTCCCTGGCCATCCATGACTAAGTGATAACATCTCATCTATGGATGCACAGGGTCCTTGGGAGGTACCTGCTTTTCTCTTCAAGGAATGAACACTAAGCCTCACAGCTGATTAGATATCCCAAATATCAAACTGTTAGACTGCTAGAGATGGGGTTTATGTCACTTCACATCTCTTAGTCTCAACAAGTGTTTGCTTAAGTTGGGTGGGTTTTGTCCCTGAGCTGGTTGTTCCTGATCTCACCCCCTCTGGAATAATGATCCCAGGGCTGAGCAATCCTGTGTCAGGGATGTGGCTGCTGCTGGAGTCCTCTGTGCTGCACCTCTTGACTGTTTCCTGTTTCCTTCTGTCTCCTGATTCCCTGCAGTGCCCCTGCTCTCCAGGGTGTGCCCGAGCGACGTGTGCCGGATCTGGAAAAGCGGGGCCAAGCTGCGCGTGGACATGACCTTGCTGGGCTTCGAGAACATGACCTGGGAGAGGGGCAGGAGGAGTGTCATCTTCAAGGGAGGGGGTAAATACTTCAGCCTCTCCGGTCCCCAGGCACTGTGTGAGCACAATGAGGAATCTGATTTTGCACAAAAAGACCTCTTGAAGCTGAGTTTTGTAAGAGATTTATACGTACATTCACAAGAGTCTCACAGAGATACTGGTTTGTCATGGCTTGATTTCTTTCAGTAAATACGAGGTAAAAATTTGGTGATAGGGCTAAAATTTGACTTCAGTATTTTACTCAGTTTCCCCTCCAAATAAAAAATAATTTTAGCTCCAGCTCCAATTTGATCCCAGCTGAGTGCAAATACAGTGAGGTGGCACCCACCTGGGTTTGATACACAACAGACACCCAGCTTTTCATTGTGGAACGCTCGTGATGAGGTTTTTAACTTGAAACGTGGTGTTTCCAACAGACACAGGGGGCTGGGCAGAGGTCATTGTGATCAACCATGACGAGAAGTATGTTATGACAGAGAAGTTTGAGATTTCCCAGCACATGAAGCGTTTGATTTTGGGATCGATGACACCAAACAGAAAAGGTGTGGAAAGGCGCCTCACATCTCCAATTATTAGCACGTGCCTTGATACCAAAAACATTGCTTTTGAGAGGTAAGGTATAAAGTTCCTCTTAACAAATTAAAATTTTGAGATTATGGATGGTCATAATTGGAAAAAAGCTTTAAAAACAAACTCAGAAGCTTTGGAATTAATTTTTTTAGGGCTAGATTTGAAATCACTTTAAACTTCACATACTGTTACATAAAGAAATTTGATTTGGTGAACTTGCCACTATTGCTTGGCAGAAAGTTCCCAGTAATCATTTGCAGAAAGCTTCTAGTTTATCATATTAACAAGATAAAATCATTAAGGTTGGAAAATACCTCTAAGATCATTAACTCAATGTTAATGGCTCATTACAAATTTGCATTTCACCCAAATCCATGTGCATAACCAATGGACAAGAACTTGCATTTTGTGGCTAATAAGTCCAATCTCTCATGAATGCTTTAAATAAATGTGTATAGTGTGTCTTCCTTGATTACTACACATGTTTATCCAGTTGTCTGGGGTTAATAATCTGTCAAATGTTGTTTAAAATCAATTTTAGAAGAACAGGGTGGGGATTGTATAGAAATGCAGCTGTTTAGACACTTGTGGTGTTGTTCACTTCTTGTCAGAACCACATCTGGATTCTGGGTCTGGAAGACAGAAAAAGCAGAAGGTGTCAGTGGTTATGAAGCCAAGGTAAAGCCTGTTCTGTTCTTCTAAGAGGTCTTACAGCAATCTGCAGTGGGGTTGTGTTTTGCCTGTATTTCCTGAATATGTCAGGTCTAAAAATTCCCATTGAGAGATTTACTGTGTTGCCAGCAGAACTGAGCAGGGGTGAGGAACTTCCAGGCTGCCAGGCTTGTGGGAGGGGTTGGAGCCTGTGTGGAGGAATGTCAGCAGGGTATAGAGGAGAGGGGGAATTGAAGGGGGGAGAAGAGGAACAGAAGATCCAGCAGAGCTGCCAGCACTCCCTTCCTTCCAAAAACTGACACTTAACTCATTCTTGAACATTGTCTTTGCTTCACTGTGTAAAACATGAAGAACCTGTTGAAGTGCCCTGAGCACTCTCTAATAACAGCACTGCAAGGCACCAGCAGCCTCCTGATGCCATGAGTTGCATCATGACTTCATAAATTAGCCCCTGCCCCTGAGTCACAGCTGCTTAGAATGGTTCCATCTGACACTGGTTTTGTCCTTAATTTCACCTCAGTATTTCTGAAGATGGCTTTAGCAGCCTTCCTGTGGTAGGAATTTGAGTTCAGAATCACAAGATTTAATTTTCCTGATTCATGAGTTTGTGTTTACTCCAGGTTTGGGAATTTGTGCAATGAATTACATTTTGTAATTTCACTTAGCAGAAGAATAAATGCTGGGTAGCTTTTACATTTATGTGAAGGCTTTTCCTGCTAAGAGTGCAGGACTGTTCAGTGGGACAGGGAGTTCATTAGTGTTCCTGCAGAACTAAACTGTCACTAAATATCATTTGGGAGGTCTTATAAGTGATCTAAGTGATCTCTGTTTAGAAAAAGCATCTGACTTACTTTCTCCATTCCCTCTTAAAATCTCTTCTTTCCAGCAAGCTTGGAAATGCCTAGTTTTGAGGTTTGTTTAGTCAGTTTTGTGCACAGGGTGTTTTGCTGCAGAAAACTCACTTCTTTAACCTGTGATGCTGCTTGGGTTTTGTCCCTGTGTTTTTTCAAGGTCTACATGGCAAACAACGTGAACGTGGTCACACGAATCCGCACGGAACATTTAACAGAGGAGGAGAAGAGGAGATATAAAGGTATTTTTCCCATAGGTCAACTGGAAACAAGTAGAACCTTTTGGCTCTCTGATACCTTCTCTGTGTGACTGCAGAAGAACTGGGCAGACAGACAAGGGAAATTCTTTTCTTGATGACTTTGCTTTACTTTCTCGTGTTGTGTGTCTGAGGGAGCTCAATACTCAACCCCTAACCTACAAATGAACCTGTATTTATCCCAACTCTATTTAGCAAAGCCCTTCAAACCTGCTGAAAGTTTATTGACAGTTTTAAAAGGCTGCACTTTTCTGCTCTGGAATGTGTTCTTGCCTTTACTTTGCATTGGCAGTGGTTACAAGATTCACAGAGGCCTTGTTTGCTTGGAATTTTTGTTTTGTTTTGGTCCACTAATTTCTCCTGGTATTTAAATTAGAGTACAGGGTAACCAGCCAGTAACTTTGCATGGAAATTCTCCTACCCTGGGGCCACTGTGAGACACTGGGAATCATAAAGGTGTCTGCTAATCAGAGAAACCACTAAAAAATCTTTGCCTCTATTCTGTGTATTTTACCTATTTCATACTGACAGCTGTAGGTCCTGGGCTTGCCTGGCAAAGCTCACAGGAAATAGGGACAACTTATTTCACTTTGGGTTGGAGGCCTGGCTGTTGGCCTGGCCTGTATGCAAATTTTGCTGCTAATTAATAGTAATAAGTGTTTTTGTTTTCCCTCCTGTTAGCTGAAGCTGAGAGGAACCTCTTGGACTCATTCCTGGGGACAGTGGAGCATGAATATGGTGCTCAGGTGAGTGTCTGATGTCAGCACAGGTCACTGCAGCACAGAGATCCGTCCCAGTAGGAACTCCAGGTGTGTGGAATCACCTCTTGTTTCCTTAGTTTGGCAGCAATTTTGATTATGAGGTTTAAATTTCCCCTAAGGATGTTTTTGTTTGGTTTAAGTGCTCAAATGTTCTGGATGGATAGCAGGTACTTCCTTCTTGGAGGAAAACCACGTAACCCCTGCTGCTCTGAAATGTGTGGATAATGATTCCAAACTGAAAGGGGAAATTTAGGGGAGATATATTGAAAAAAATATTCCCTATGAGGGTAGTGAGCCCCTGGCACAGGTTGCCCACAGAAGCTGTGGCTGCCCCATCCCTGGAATTGTCCAAGGCCAGGTTGGACAGAGCTTGGAGCAACCTGGGATAGTGGAAGGTGTCCCTGCCCATGGCAGGGGATGGAACAAGTAGAGCTTTAAGGTCCCTTCTAAACCAAACCATCCCATGATTCTCTGTGGCTTTAGAAACTCCCCTGCATCTGTACATACTAAAGAACAGTAAATAATGGATTTGCTGTCTCTGTGTCAGGATTGCACACTTACATGGATCTAGAGACTTTAGTTTCAAACACCCCATCAAAGTTTTGCCTTTAGTACAGGATTTGGGGTCTGGAAATGCTGTGGCTCCTGTGTGTGTTTGTGGTTGGTTTCCAGCTTCAAGGTATTTAAGTAGATTCTTCCTGTCTCTAAAATACTTGGAGATTTTTACCCTCAGTAGAAACCAGACCAACAACAGCTTGTATTTATGGCTGGTGTCACTAATGTAGAATATATAAATGTATAGAACAGAATGTGTAACATAGAGAAGGAGAGTTACTTCACAAGAAGTAACTTGGAAGTTTCCTGTAGTAGCCACTGTCTGTTTCTTTTATACTTTTTGGGTTGGTTTTTTTCGACTCTTTCCTTCCAGAGTACGACCAAGACAACAGAGTGTGCTGCAACTAACAATCCCACTGCTATTACTCTGGAGGAATACTTTGACCCAGAATTTGATTTGAAAGGCAGAGACATAGGAAGACCAAAGGAAGTCACCATTCGAACACAGAAGTGAGAAATACCATTTTAACTATTTCTGGTTTGTCTTTTCCCAATTATCTAGTCTCTGGAAACCACATTTACAAATATCCAGTTTGGTTTTTCCCAGCTTTCACAATCAATCATAAGATCTTTAAGTATTCAGCTGTAATCTATTTTTACTTCCACTGAGTCAAAGAAAACATTTGGACTAGTGCTGTAACTTGTTAGTAATCTTCTGTTACTGCCCAACTGCCTGTTCTGCTTTGCATATATTCCTAAACTGTGAATTTAGGATGTTTTTATGCTGCTTTCTTTCTCAGATTTAAAGCAACCTTGTGGATGAGTGAGAAGTTCCCTTTGTCTCTTACGGAACAAGTCACCCCAATCATCGACCTGATGGCCAGAACTAGTGCTCATTTTGCCAGACTTAGGGATTTCATCACTCTGGACTTTCCACCCGGATTTCCTGTCAAAATTGGTAATTAGCAATTTTTATTGTAGCATCTTTGTAAGTTCTGAATGACCAGTACAGGAGTATAATTTCAAAGACAGTGTCATTTCAGTGACAATGAGATGTTGCCAGCCCTTTCCTCTTAACTTTGATGCCTTAAATTTGCCAATCTTATTATTAAATATGAGATTTAGAGAGAGATTGAGAATAACTAAGGGCAGCTTCTTGGTGAAGTGAGTTACTATGTGCTTTGTCATTACAAGAATATATCCTATGAATATATAAGGGTCTGATGTAGGTGTGGAAGTGAGTGAGAGTTCTCTTTTTGACAGAAATCTTGTTCTCTTACAGAAATTCCCCTGTTTCACGTGCTGAATGCCCGAATTACGTTTGCAAATGTCAACAGCTGCAGGACAGCTGAGAAAAGCTCCTCACAGATGGCTGGAGGTGCACAGTGTGAAGCAGGTAAGGAGTGGAAAGAGGCAGTGATCTCACCTTTTACATCTCTGTCAGTGGAATGTACTGAGGGGAGAGATGAGGAACGGCAGGGAATGAGACATTGACAGGTGAAGGGGAGCTGCACTGTGTTAGAGTGTGTGACACTGATCTTGCTGACCCATCCTGCCCCTTCCATGCCTACCAGACTGGCTAAACCCGCTCCAGAAAGCTCTCCTGAGTGTTTTGAGCTGTAAATTCTGGTGCAGGTTATTGCCATGGGAAGTGGAACTCAAAATTGCTGTAAGTGATTTCAGAAAGAATTGGATTACATTTGAGCAAGATGCTCAGGGCTGCGTATATCCAGTGATCCTCTGTCCTGTGAGCTGCTGCAGATCCATTCATGAGGAATAACTTCAGAAGAGCCACTGCAGAATTTATCTTTTGCAGCTTCCCTGCCACCCCCATCTGGTTTTGTCAGAGTTAAGGCACCTCAGTGCTCTGCTGCACCCTGGGTTTATTAAGTGTATCACTTCACATCATCCAAAAAAAGGACTCTGCCCTCTGTTTTGGTTTGCCACAGGCTTTCAAAGCCTCTTGGTGTATTTAGACAAGTGGTTTATCTGGATTTTTGCACTTAATTATGCATAAACATTCATCAGAATTCTTTATGTCACAACTTGTAGAAATAATACTTTTGCCATGTTTGCAACTGTGTTTGGCTTCTGTAGGTGCTGGTTTTGAGGTGGACCAGTCGGTGTTTGAGATCCCAGAGTCCTACCACGTCCAGGACGATGGCAGGAACATACACGTGCCGGATGAAGATTATGAGATCATGCAGTTTGCCATCCAGCAGAGTTTGTTGGAATCTGGAGGAAGTAAAGTAAGTGTGCTGGAATCTGGGCAGTGACAGGTTTGGCAAGGACTGTGCAGATATAGCTGAAGGAAACCAGTGTGGGACTTGTTTTTCTAAGACCTCAGAAGATGAAAATCATGTATTTCGAAGAAGAAATAAGAGTGATTTAAGGGTGGCTTTCAGTGAGTTGCTCTGCAGATCTGGTAACTGCTGTGGAATTGTCTCTTTCCCCATCTGTAGGAATTGGGGGCAGATTCCAATGGAGCAGTTGCATATTCCCAGGACTTCGATATACAGTATCAGAGGTAACTAACTTTTTTCACATCAAGCCAAGCAGTGACAGAGCGAAAAAACCCACCTCAGTAGCATGAAGCAGTATGGCAGGGTTTTTTGTTTATGTGGGTAGCAGATGCACAGAACCTGAGGTCTCTTATTGTGCTTCTTCCAGCTTTTACTTTTCCAGGAAGCAAGGACTCCAAACTGGGCCTCCCTGGTTTCTGTAGTGTAGCTCTTCCCAGCTGTGGGACTGGTGTGGGCACACAACAGGTTCTTTACCCAACAAACAAACGCAGTCCTTCTGTTCTGCTCTGAATTTGATCCCTCTGGGTTGAATGTTTGACTGTTAGATGCTGCAACCCTCAGGGCAGCTCTTATTTCTTTTCAAAATCTTTATGTAATCCTTAAAAACTTAACATATATTTCATGGACACGTGAGGATATCCTCTGGTGTCTATCGGGTTTTCCCGCAGACTTTGTGCACACCAAGAACTGAATCTTCTGGGTTCTTTTGTACATGGGAAGTCATGTTGCCTTTAAACCAGGTGAGGATGCTTTTAGAGGCCCATTGAAAATACAACTGTTTGTATCTATGAAAGCTTCAAAGGGCAGGTTTGACACTGGGAATTTGACAGATGTGAGAACAGCTGCTCCCTTATCCTCAAGCTGCTTTCTGTCTTCTGGGAGACATTTTCAGCTTTGTGGGTCTAAAACAGTTGCCTGGAAGGATCAGTGCAGGAAATGTCACATAGGCTCTGTCTCTTTTACTTATCAAAGTTGTTTTTCTCCATCAGGGCACTGCAGGAGAGCCTTATGACAAGCTCGGGGAGCTCCCACTGCAGCAGCCCCAGTGAACCTTCCAGCTTTGAGAAGGACTTGCAGCTTGCCATGGAATTGTCTGTCCGGGAGCAGGAGGAGCAGGAGAAGCAGCGTCAGGAAAAGGAAGATGCAGAGCTTCAGCAAGTGCTACAGCTTTCTCTTGTGGAAAAATAACTCCTCAGCGACCTCCTGAAGTAAGGATGACCAAATCTGTGTAAAACTGAAGGTTTTCGGGGCTGTCAGTCTAAAGACCACTCCTGGATTGCTTAAGGAAACATTTCACCTGCCTTTTAAGTTGGCATCAGCAGCTACAAAAAGCTGACTTACTTTTGTTTGAGGGATTTTCAGATCACAGGACTCTGCATTTGGCTCCTCAACCATGCAGTCTTAGCTTTGAAGGAAATGCTTTTATCTAAACTTATTTATTGAAGAGCAGATGGAAGTTTTGCTTTAGCATCAGGATATAGGATTGCAGTAAAGCTTGAAAACCTGATTTTTGGGGAGTTCAGGAGGGAAAATTCATTACTTACCAAAGAAACACTCATCTGCTTCATTATTTCTCAGTAATTCAAAGCCATTGCCTGTGTCTTCCAGCTGTTACAGAGAGCATCTCCCTGCCTACACACACACGGTAGTTCTTCATGCTGACAGATGTTTTCTGTTAGTTTTGTTTATATATGTGGTTCTCTCTCCTCTAGTTACTGGGATTTGGGCACATGCTCCTGCTTAAGAGGGATAATTTTATACTTGAACAGCTCCAGATTAAACTAGTGCTTTCTGAAAAAGGACAAAACAAGTAGCCAGTAAAATTTTAGATCCTCAAATGGGACCATCTGCCCAGTAAAGCAGCAGTTCCTGCAGTGATTCCAAACCAGCTCGTTCCCGTGGTCAGAGGGCAGCAAGAAAATATGGGATAGGTACAGGTGCTTCTTTGGGATCACTTGGTGTGTGCCTGAGTGTGGGAGCTAAATGCAACCAGGAAAAGAATCCAGGTGAGATTTTATTGTATCCTTATGGGAAGAGAAGTTTTAATTCTGTCATCTGGAAGGGAAATGTGTGTTGCTTTTTAAAACCCCAGCGCTCATCCTTCATGTGAATACATCTATTTTTTTATCTGAATATTTTTATTGATTTTAAACCAAGCCACTAGGCCTACACTCCTAAAACTGGTCTTGTAACGATTCCCAGGTCAGTTTTAACCAGCTTTCCTCAGGTTTTTGGCCATACAGGATGTTTGTAGCTCTTTTATCTGCACTTCTGTCAGTGTTTACAGTACTCACACTGTGACTCTCAAGTGCACTCCACAAGTACACGATGAACAGCCACAGGAAAGCCTTACAGTTGTTAATGTGAGCAATATTCCTCCACTCTGGCTGGCAGGAGTGGAGGAACCTATGGTACCCCTGCTCTGAGCTTGCTCCTAACCCTGCTCCTGTTCCTCAGGCTAAACAGGGCAGTTCTGGGTGACCAGCTATTAATTAACCAGTATAAAATCACTATAAAATGGACTTGATCATAACCAGTGGGATAGTTGGTAACTTGGAACCCTATTTTAAACCAATAATCCATTGTTTTACATAGGAAATTATTAAAATTCCTTCAGTGTGCACTAGGACTGGCCTCTCCACACTGGTGGTGTCCTCTGGTACAGCTTCATTCCCTAAAAACAGCTTCCTGGGTGCTGCAGGAGTGGGGACTGTCCTGCACAGAAGCAGTGGGCTGGGTTGGAATTGCACCTTTCTTTGAAAAGGGGATTACTGTGACTCTCACAGTTGGGAAAAAGGGAATAATCCTTGTGTTGAGCTCTTGACAAGGTTGGAGGTAGGAGATGAAACCCTGGGAGTTTCCTCCAGTGGGAATTAAAGAGTGCTGTTGCCTTTACACACCCAGCTGTCTGGCAGTGCCTGTCTTCTGTTAAGCATTTCACAGGTTACAGGAGGGGTAAAAATAATCATTTTTCAAGCTGACTTGTTCTGGGTTTGTATTTAAACTAAAGAACATTGAGCACTTTCAGTTGAAGTTTTGTTATGCTACTGCTTCTTAGTCCGTGACTGTAAAATAAATGGGATTTGCTTTTGGGTTTTTTGCTTTCTATCACATTTGTATCATTCCAGCTAAACTAGAATGCCCTGCTTCCCTCACCCAGGTGCTGCTTTTCTTAAAGCCTGACTTTCAACCCATACAGTGTAAGATGGATCCTCTGTGTGTGTTGGAAATAAAACCAAAAGTACAGCACATGTTACACCACACACAAGGATTTTTTCAAATGTGGTATCTGGAGTCTGTTTTAATAAGTATTTTGTGGCATTTTTGTACATTAAAGTGACATTATCATCTATGAAATTCTCAAAGGTAGTTATGGTTTAGTCTGAATCAGGCACACAATCCCCAGAATCACTCTTGAGACATTTTCAGCCAAGTTTTGAGTCTTCCTGTCTTGAAAAAGGGGATCAGGTCAACACAGATCTAAGGCAGCGAAAGGCAGGGGGTTAAGCTTATTAATTTTTGTTTGCATCTTCTTGTGAGTAACAGAGATGAGGAGAGGGTTCAGATATGTTTAACATTGATGCCACTATTGCTGTGTAACAGCTGAATACAACTTCTCTTTCTGAGGAAGCTGGAGGCTGACGTAGCAAAGAGAAGCTCAGCGCTACAAACACTTAGAGCTTGTTCTAAAACTATAACCAGCTTTAAAAGTTCTTTAATCTCATGTTGTTTGTTTCCGAAAGCAGGACTGAGAATGTGCTTTTCTTGTGCTTTTGACTTGTTATTTCAAGGCTCTTTACAACAGTAATTCCTGATTTTCTTTATTTGGAAACCCTTCTTACACTGCTTTGGCTGAGCTTTGGTTCGTGACTGAACTGCTGGTAACTGCACGAGGCTTGCAGGATGAGCTTTCATTGCACTGTTAACAGCTCCTTGCTGACAAACATCCATGGAAACCTTCCCCCAGCACGGCCCTCCCATTCCCTCACTGCTGAAAGCAGGGTGGGAACTGAGGTGACCAGAGGTGGGAATAGGGGCAGCCTCCTCCCTCTGTACAGTACAGGCCAGTTAATAACAGCACATCCCTGAATAAATAAGAGTCTAGATTGTTTACTGAGCTCTTTATTTGTACAAAGAGGCATGGGAGGGAGTGAAGAATGAAAGCAAACAGGAATGCTGCTCCAGGGAACACGGAGTGTGGCTGGGAGCTTCACCATCCACCCCCGTGAGCAGCACAGACTGCAGGCCAGGCTTTACAGCAGATGAAGGACCGAGAAAAATCAAGGATACAAGAATCAGTGAGCAAAAAAAGGAGCAGAAAGCAATAGAACAGTGCTGCCTTGCTTCCCCACTCTTGTTTCATTTGGATTAAGAACTCATTCTGTTCTAAGGGAGCTTCCTACTGTCATTTCACCAACTGAGCAGCAGCGAAGAAATTCCCCCCGTTCAATGCCAGTGGTTGGTGTCCTTCAAATTGAAGGGAAAACACCTCAGATGCAGCACAAGGGGTTAGAGAAAAGCTCAACACAAATGTTTTGGAAGTTACATTTTAAGACACTAAATAAATTACTAACAAAACCACCTCTATGTTAAATACTAAAGTAATAATTAGTAAAATCCAGTTACTACTCGTAGCAGTGCAAAACAAAATAGCAGCATTCGTATGAGTGGGATTCAGTGTAAACACTTGGATTTGTTACTGAAAATGCATAAATGGGTCTGGCTGGAGCTCAAACACTTTCAGAGAGCCTGAGCCTGGCAGGTCCCAGCATCTGCCTGGCTTGCAGACCTTTGAAGGCTCCTGTTTCCAGGAGGACAGTGACCAGCACATGCTGGAAACCCTCACCTGCACCCCAGTTCCAAACAGGTTCAGCAGGGCTGGTTTGGTATGAGGCTGTTCGGGGCTATTTAGCTAAGAGTTAAAGCAAATAACGTTGGGAATGACAAGCCTAGCCCTGAACAGCTACACCAGGATCGGGTGTTTCTGCTCAGAGGCAAGAACATGCCAGACCCCCTCCACCCCCCCACCACTCTGGTGGGTCACTGAGCCTTTGCCTTTGGACCATTTTTGATCGGTTTGGGTTGGAAGGGACCAGAAAGCTCATCCTGTTCCAACCCCCTGCCACGGACAGGGACACCTCCCACTCGACCAGGTTGCTCCAAGCCCTGTCCAACCCCCGAGACTCAGCGTTCAAATAAGGAACTGAAATAATGGGAAAACAAACGTGGCTGTGGTGTGACCGAGCGCGTGGACCTGCTCCTCGGACGACGTTCTTGTGCTGATCCACATGCACCGGGGATGCTCCCGAGCACATCCTGCAGGATCATCCTCGCCCAAACGCTGCAATTTGGGAGTAAGGGGCGTTGCTCCAGACCCTCCTCACAGCCAGCCGGGTTTGCTGCGAACACGCTGCCGGGAGCTCCAGGAGTCCGTTCGCTGAGGGCTGGGGTGTGACTTCCAGCCCCTGGACAGGCCCTCGCTGAAAGCAACGTCACGATGGAGCCACACGATGCAGCGCGGGACAAGACGGGCGAAAAGCCACCCCCGCATGGTCAGGGCATCGCCGGCGGCGGTGGGACAGCGGGTACCACATGGGAGAACCGGACGGGACCAGAGCAGGGGTGGGGCGGCGGGTACCAGACGGGAGAACAGGTGGGATGCAGCATTCCCTCGATGCCCCGGCAGGTCCCGCTCCGCTACCGCCGCCGCACGGGCCGGTACACGCAGATGGCCATGAGGATGATGGTGAGCAGGAGGGCGCTGAGGATGCTGCCCAGCAGCACTGCGGCGGGAAAAGAAACAGCGTTAATTAAACACCGACAACTCGCTCCCGAGCCCCGTCCGGGCTGTGCCCGGTGCCCCCCGCTCCTCACCCAGGTTCTGGTGCTGCAGCACCGCGTAGGGCCGGCTGCGCTCCGCCGGGCCCGGGGACAGCGCCCAGCCCCGCGCCGCCGACAGCCCCATCGCGACAGCCGCGACACAGCACTGTCCGAGCGGTCTCAGCCCCGCCGCCCTCCCGGGCTTTGTGCGCCAGGCCCGGCCCTGCCCCTTCCTGCCGCCCGCCCCGCCCCGGCGCCGGCCTTCCGGGGACCGGCCGAGGGAATCGGGAGCGGGATCGGGACCGGGAGTGAGAGCGGCTGCGCCCCGCGTGTCCGCCCCGGCGCGTCCCTGAACCCCCGAGTGCATCTCCCCCAACCCCGTGTGTCCCCCCAGCTCCGTGTCCCTCCAAGCCCCATGTGCCCCCCCAGCCCCCGCCGCGGTGAAAGTGAGTTTGGGAAGTGTTTAACTGGCCCCAAGGCGCTGAGGAACGTCGAGGCTGCACTGGGAGCGGCAGGACGCGACTGGGAAGCCGCGGCAGGTGGCTGGTTCACACCAGTCCAGGGCTGCTTTGTCCCGACCTAGAATTTGGTTTTAAAACGAGATATGTAAAGGTCTTTCCCTTTTCAAATGCCGGAGGCTGCCAATTCTCTGGATGCTCCCGGCTCAGCCGGGATGGGATGTCAGGAGGCACCGACCTGCCCATCTGAGGCAGCACCTGCCGGGACCCACCCCATGAACCCATCCGGGGGCCAGGCAGTTCCTCCGCTGGGCCTTGGATCATTGGAGCAGAACAAGGTGTTGGTGTGTCAGGACAGCGGCAGCCCCTGTGTCCCCCAGCCCAGCCCTGAGCTCAGCCACACATGGCGCTCCATGAACACAGAAAGGTGGGCTCCGGCTCCTCTCCCTCCGAGCATCGAGATCAGCTTTATTTTCCGTGTCACAGGACAGCTACAGACATGCACTGCTCCCACCCGCGGGTCTGCACAGCCAGGCCGTGGACATCTCCAGTGAGGAAATTCCTCCTCTGTGCTGGAAATCAGGGTTCTCCTCCAACACAGGGAGTTTGGCCCCTTGGCCTCCAGCCCACAGGACACAGCGGTGGGTTCCATTCTCCCTGCTGTGAATCAGAGGATTCCCTGTGGTGGGTCCCGTCCTCCCTGCTGTGGATCACAGGTGTGAGAACAGGCTCCAGTCTGCCAGGACGTGCCAGCAGCGTCACTTCCACCGGGATGCTCAGGCACACCATGGAGCTGCCGCTGCTGGCACCGGGGGAGACAAAGAGGGGCAGTTTGTGGTGAGGAAGGCAGTGGCAGCTGCTCTCCTGCTGCCCCAGCAGTCCCTGTGTCCCCCAGCCGTGCTGGTGCTCTACAGGATGGGTGCCAAGCCCACCACCTCTGCCCGGGGGGCTCGCGTGGTCTTCTCCGGCCGGATGCAGACGGCGAGGCGCTGAGGGAGAGAGCAGGAGAGGGAAAACACAGTGGGTTTCTGAAGGGGGAAGTGGCAGGCCCGTTGAGCCCCTAGAAGTTGAACCCCTAGAAGAGTACAGTATACGGTGGCATAAGACCGTTCCCGTGAGAAGCAGAGAAGCTAATTAACCATTCCCATGAGCAGTACGGCCTTGAGAAGCGGGGAGTTAATTGGCAAATTGATAAGTAGGTTTAGGGAGGATAGAGATGTGCAAGGACAAAAATGTTGGCTATGTTCATGGTGCAGGTGCATGATAATAGTATCTTGTAGAAATTATATTATTTACAAAAAAGTGTGTGAAAAAATGTGGGCTAGCTTTCCTAATAAAGGGTGCTGCTGCGCTGAGGCTGCAGACAGCACTTGTCTCAACTTCTTGTGCGGTGTGTATGTGTATGTGTGTGCTTTTCTATATCAGCCAAACCTAACAACTATGACAACTGCACCGTGACAGGTTTCCTTCCTGCCATGGAGCCACGTTCCTCTGAGTGCTCCCAGGCAGCTCTCCCGGTGGGATTTAATTGCCATATGAACAAAGATGCTGAGGACACAACCACCTGCCCAGCTCCCTGACCCTGGTCTCGGGCTGGTCCGAGCAGGGGTCTCTGCCCACCCCAGCCCACCCAGGAGCCATGGAATTGCCCATCCTGCTCCTGACCTGCTTGAGAGACCCCGGTGTCCAGACGAGCTTGTACACCATGTAGAAGGGGATGCAGATGAAGGACGATGCTCCAATGAGGTGTCCCAATGAGGTGCTCCACTCAGGGTACTGGTAGTCAAAGAGGGTCAGGGGTGGCTGGTCCAGGAGGGAGCTGATGACTATGAACTGTAACGAGCAGAGCAGAGCCGTCAGGGACCTCAAATCCTGTGAGCAGGTTGGGCCCCTCACCCCAAGACAGACATTGAGGGGCTGGAGCATATCAAGAGAAGGGCAGTGGTGGAGTCCCCATCCCTGGAGGGATTTAGAAGCTACGTGGATGTGGCACTTGGGGACATGGGTTAGCGGTGGCCTTGGCAGTGCTGGGGAATGGTTGAACTTGATGATCTTAGAGGGCTTTCCCAACCCAGTTGATTCCATGATCTCCCCAGCCCCAGCACTGATGGCAGCTCATCCCATGGGTTATCAGGTTAAGGGGGTGGAACGAGATGATCTTTAAGGTCCCTTCCAACCCAAACCAGCCTGTGATTCCATGATTCTATTAACACCATCCGCGTCCCACTGCTCCCCCTGCTCTCCCAACCATGACAGGCCAGCGTGGACGTGTCAATGCCATCACCCAGGCTCCCCCCCTCTGGGTGAGGGCTGGGGGTCTTTGTCTAATGACCCCCCGTGAGACAGTGGCCTGTGAAGGCTGCGTGTCCCTGTGCTGAAACAAGACCGTTTGCTGTCTGCTTTGATGATAATACTCCTCTCTTAATAACCAGGGCAGAGCGCTTAGAGTCATAATTAATCCTCACAAGGCCTCTTCTCCTGCAGATCCAGCGAGATTAGACCCCTCTGCCTCTTGCCAACAGCAGCCTTTGAAGTGCCGGGGGAGCTGGCATTTCAAAGGGGATGGATCCAGCCCTGTGCATGGAGATGGACCTGTGGCCGGCCCTGCCAGGGACGCCGTGGACCAGGAGGATGAAACGAGGCTGCACTTGACCTGTCTGTAGTTCTGGCCATGGATACTCACTGCTAGCAAGGCAGGGCTGACAGCAACCCAGCACAGCTTCCAGAACAGCCCTGGGGTGAAGCCCAGCATGGCTTTGACATCGTGGGAGAACCTCTGTATCCCTGCCAGAGGAGAGAGCTGTCACAGCCCCACCGGGGACGTGGGTACGGGGACACTGACAGCCACATGGACACACCATCCGTCCCCTTTCCAGGAGTCACACACAAGCTTCTGCCCCTCAACCCCTGGATTTACTCACCTGTGTAGGGTTACACACCTGTGTAGGTGCCCATGGGATGTTTTCCATGACAGAGGCAGTTTCTTACCGTAAAACCAGGACACAGCTATGGTTTCCAGGAGCACCACTGCCAGGATGGAGCAGCCGGCACCGAACTCCTCCAGCAGCTTCACCACGTAGGCTCCCCCCTGGAGCAGCACGAGGAGGGAGGGCGGCTGCAGACCCCGTGGCGGTGAAGGAATGGGAGTGTGGGGGTCAGGGATGGGGCTGTTCCAGTGGTACTCACATAGGTGAGGGTGCTCAGGGAGCCCAGGAAAGAGACTGTGATGAGGCCGAGGACAAAGAGCTCCCGTCGCCCGGCCAGGAGCTGGGGATACTCATCCATCACGGCCGTGATCACGGCCTCCAGGCCCCCAAACTGCAAAGGAAATGCTGGCATGGGGTGGGGAAATGGGATGTGGGGACAGTCCTGCTCTCCAAGAAAATCCACTCCCTCCATGGCAGAGTGGGGATGTCCCATCCCATCCCATCCCATCCCTCATCACCCTACTGGGGACGTGGCTGGGCTGTCCCTTTCCGCAGAGGCACCTACTGTGCTGTCCAGCCCCAGTGTAATCATCATCAGGAAGAAGATGATGGCAAAGAAGGTGGATCCCACCATGTTGGCAATTGCTTCAGGGTAGGTGATGAAAAGGAGGCTCGGCCCTAGGAAGGGACACTGGCTTGGTTGGCTGTCCCCTGGCACAGCCTGGGATGTGGGCGGGAACATGTTTGGGGAAGGTGCTGCTGGAGGGATGAGAACCTTTATCTCTGGCTACATCCTCCACCTCCACGTCCCTCATCTCAGCCATGTAGCCCAGCACGGTGAAGATGACAAAGCCCGAGAGGAAGCTGGTGAGGCAGTTCACTGCACTGGTGATGAGAGCATCCCTGGAAGGCAGAAAGGAGGGAGATGCCCCCCTCCAGATCAATCCTCACCCTGGTTGAGCTGCCCTGGCCACCTTCCCCCCCTCCCGCTCCCTCTTCTGGCCCCTCCCACCAAAATCATCAGTGAAATGGGGAAAGATGCTCAGCCTGCAGCCACGGGGACCAGGAGCTGTTGGGATGTGGCCACGGGGACCAGGATCTGTCAGGATGTGTCCCTGCTGCAGCTATGCCTGTGCAGCCCCTGTGCCCACTGGGCCCCATGGCTGCAGAACTCACCGGTAGCAGTTGTTGTGGAAATGGTTGTAACTGGCCAGGGCAAGGAGTACTCCAAATCCAGGACCCAAGGAGAAGAAAATCTGTGCAGCAGCATCAACCCAAACCTGGCGAGAGAAGCAACAGGAGAATGGGCAGG